ATTAACCATTAGCAAATAGGTCCGGCTGTTAATTCTGTCGGTGGGGACGGACCCTACCGTCTATATTTATCCAATAATATTTTATAATAGTATGTGACCTTGTTGGGTCTAATCGGCAAGTAGGGCAAGTGGGGCAAGTGGGGTGCTCGTGCAGCGCTCTAGTATCGACTGGCACCACACAACACGACGCGAACGAACCGTACAAACGGTAACAATAGTACATTACCCCCTTTCACTCAACGCTCCAATGCGAATAGTTCATTTGAAAGACGATTCGGTCAGGCGATAGGGTCGTAAGTGATGTAAACCAATATCGAAATGTGGAAAGTCTAATAACATAAATAATATATGTGATTAAGGAAGTAACTTGGAAAAAGTAGTTCGGATGTTATTTAATTACCATTGACAATACCAATTACATATCTTTAGGAATTGTATCGTTTGTTAATCGTACCCTTTTAAAACCCGTACAAAACAATTCTTAGAAGACATAAAGGGGCAGTTACAGCAAGTTAAAAAGGGTAAACTAAGACAGGAATATCTGGCGGGAGCAGGTGTTTACAATGAACGACAAACAGGACAACGTTACTACAAACGTCTTGGATGACATCCAAGTCGTAGAGTTGGCAATACATTGGCAGTTCTGTGTCTTTCTTTTTTGCTTATTCGAATTCCATCGACCACAGTATACGTCACGCTTAAACCTTTCTATATAGAATACATTAATGTTAAAATTATCTAAACCGAGAGACATGCCAGTCAAAATTATCTTTTTCGACTTTGAATAATTTGTTAGACATATTATTTTATTGCCGATTTTCAATTTAAAATATAAGCACATTTAAGTAACACTTTAATCAATGTTTTCTCAAGTAGAGTAATGAATAATTCTATGGATGCGAACACTATGTACATAATTATTTTTTAAAGTGCTTTTATATTTGTTTAGCGGCAGGTCCGAGTAAGGTCGTAGACCTTGCGCACAAGCCAGCTGACATTTGTCTGAATCAACACGATGACCGACGGGAATATTCAATTAAACTTTTTATTGCAACAATTTCACGGCACAGCGCGAGGCGACTCCGACGATGAGGTGATTAAATTTCCAAAAGGCACGTTCAGTTGGATCGAGTCATTCACGTTTTGTAAGTAAGCCTTTAGTTTGAAAAAGCTGTCACGACAATCTTCTGAATTGGGAAGGACAGGAGACTGTTACATACTTTTTCTGTTCTTATTACGCTAAATTGTTCCGTTGGGATAGCTGCTGGATCCGATGGATTTTTTTAAACAATTGAAAATCATCTTGCCTCATTTAGGACTAAAACTCGCTACTAAACCCGATAATTAACCTGGTGGTCGTACATACATTCATTTAAAAACCAATCTGCAAGATACCTTTGTCTTGTCAACTGTTTCAAAATTTATTTACTTAGGTCAAACACAAACCGAGTTCATTTTAAATATTGGTTACTTGTAACGAAGACGCCGTAAGAAGTTGAAAGTCAATAAAATTAAGTATTCATTTCGTAACCAGTCTTTGTAAATATTGTTGAGCTGTTGAAACATGGATACCTAAAAATTTACATTATACTAAAGGCCGCAATGAATTGTAATAAAAAATAATAGCTGAATGGCCTCACAAATTATGTGGCCATACTTTTATTCCAAGCGGACGCTTTGACAATGTTCTTTTAACAACAAAATGGAATTAAACCGTATCTTTTGAAATGTAAATAGTTTGAAATGGTATTCACTAGACTGGTTAAATAACGACCGCACACCGGGTACAGTCGCAGGGCCTACGAGGAAACCACGGCCTATATAGATAAGAAACTAGTTGTGGGCACCATAATATTTGCCTACACAGCAACAGTACGCCCCTATTGTATACGTTCAAGTAACAAGCCACCGACGTAGTAAAAACCACTTCCGTGTGACGTAAAATAAAAAGAAAAATACGTAAATTAAAAAATACGCCTATGTTTTTCCCTTACAGCAGTGAACAACAAATTTATTACACGATTTTAATTATCAATTCAACGATCTTGTCGATTTACTAAGTTGAAATTTACCTTCAAACTGTAACATGAGAATCGTTCTAATCGAACGAAAGCGTTAAATATTCTCAAGTCGCAAATGAATGTGATTCGATCGAAGTTTTAACAGACCACAACTGATGTGGGTTGTGTTACTTTCTCGATAACTTTGTTGTTACAGACAACAAATTACTTTCCATGGCACATTGACAGTCATGACGACCACGTACGTATTTTGTTGTTGGCTTTTGATTATTAATCGAAAATAGATTCTGAACAACTTGTACAACATTAAATACCATAATGGGTGTATAGTTAAATTTCGAACACTTTCAAACCTTCGGAAAGCCAGAGTGTACACACAGTAAAAACTGTAAATGCTTTTCCCCATTTATTACGCTTAAAGCATTATTTTACTTGTATACGACATATTAGGACTGTTTTTTGAGATATCGATCAATGGCTAAAAAGTATCATATTAAGATCTGTAATTCGGTATCTCATAAAATTAGGGTAATACATTAAAAACGTAATATAGTTGTCCCACGGCGATGCGTTTGCTTTACGAGTAACAAGCACGTAGCTCTCCGAGACCGGAATAACAATTGAACCGTGGGAAAACGCACGTAAACGACACAATTATGAAACACCTACCACCCAATCCCACTGTACACGACTACCACTGGCAGAATAGTTAAACTGTAAAAATAACAGTCGTTGTTTAGAGTTTATACGCGGCCTAACGGTATAATAATAAACAAACATTATCACGTCAATAGAAACACATCATTGGCAAGGAAATTTCTAGATCTTCATCCATCGTTTAGATCCGTAGACTGAGCTGGGTGTAGTAATACTAGGTTTATTTTAGGGTTATAAAGTTAGTGCTGTAATATTGGGCACAATAAATGTAAATGCTCATATATCGTGCAAAATACTTTCAAATACGTCCATTTTACCGATTATTCCTACATTCTTAAAATCTGATCCATCGCAAGCAATACGTCACATATGCTCTCAAATTCCCGAACAGAAGCGTTTAATATAAACCTTTGAACAAACTTTTGACATCTAAAACTTTGTCAAGGTACCTAATATAAGGCATTATTCTTGAACTTTTTACTTTAACTTCATATGTGCTTTTAATTATCTTAAAAAATATTCAGAAGCAAGTCATATTACGGGATTTAATTATTTTAATCTGGCACCGAAAATAAGAAAAGCACTTAGAAAGGCTTTTTGAATAACGAAACTGGTCCGTGCGAATCGGTAACGGTTGTTGCGTCACGAGACGCGGTTCCGACGTGATTCATATGACTGCAATATGGAAATACGATAAACAGATAATTCATATATCTAAATATCTATTACTTTTCAAATGTTTACATGATATTTAATCACTAAACAATATAATTCCATTATCCATTCGTAAACATGATGTTAGTGTAAGCAATAGTATGATCCCAAGGTCAAATGTTGTCATTCACACTTCTTAGAGCTTAGCCTAATATGAAAACCTTATATAGGATACTCAGTACTAGCAAAAAAAATTGTTAAAGTATGCCTAAAAAAAAGTTAACAAAGTATATATATTAAAACAATATTTTTTTCTGCTACTAATAAATTTTTAGTGCTATACATCAAGAAGGAGAATAATTACTGTACTTATAACGGAGAAAAATAGCAAATCATAGCATTTATTAGCAAATCTTTATCAATTTGCGGGTATTCCAATATTATCATTAATTTAATACTGACACTCCAAATTAAAATTCCAATTGGAATTTGTTTTATAAGTAGTCATTACATTTTAAAAGTAATTTGATTTTGTGTACAAAATTATAACAGCATGGAAACATTTTAAGAGAATCATTTTTTATTTCTTTTAAATTTATCTTTAACATCAGGCAAATTTAGGAGTATTATAAATATCACCTGTTGTGCTGATAACTTCAAAATAAATATAAGAAAGGTGAAAGGATTTACATAAAGTATAAAATCTTTTTAAATCGCAGATTTTAAATCAACATATTATTGAATTTCTGACACATTATTGAACTTAAGGATGACACTATATTTTCATCATGTCCAATTGTTGAAAAAGCATTGTGAGAAATGTCAATTGTTTACCGTGATGAGTTTGCATTGGTATGACAGAATGCATTGTTACATCTGAAAATTTCATTTGAAAGTATTTTTAATTTATACCTAGCTACAGACATATATAAATATCAATACTGACAGTGTTTGCACAGTGTAGTAAACATTTAGTGTTTACTTTTTTTTTTCAATAATAAATCCTTTACTATTTCACTTTTAAAAATTGAAACTAAATATTAGTTGGTAAAATTGATATATATGTTCAATTTCTACAAGTTAGAATTGTAATGTTCAAAATTTTATTTTTGATTTTAAATTTTAAACATAAGGTGAGGTTTTTGTTATTATGTGTTGAAATAAAATACCTAGGTGATATTAAGTAATCTTTTTGTATTCTATGAAGCTAATTTATTATTAAATAAACATGACTAGATATGTAATGCAGACTTATAAGTACTTAAGCATGTAGGATTTCTTCTTATCTCCTTTAAGTGCTATCAGAAACAGTCATAAATTTATCAGTTAACAATAATATGATAAACATACTCTTTTAAGACATTTGCATTGATAGAAAAAATATATCCGTGTGTATATTTAGACTACAATTTAAAATCTAGTGTTAAAAAGTTTTGCATGAGGCTTCAATTAACACCTTATATACAATCTTGTTTGTTGTCTTAGCAAGTATTAGCCTCTAGTAAAAGTGATAATAAGTTACAAATTGTTACAACACTTATAATTGCGTTCAAGTTTATCAAAATACGTACTGGTTTTATATGACACGTAGTTAAGCAACTTTGCTACCCTGTTAATTTCGATAAAAATTTATGTTAACTTCTCCAAAGACTCCTAAAAGACACTCACCTCACTGAAGGCCATCACTCCGGCCGGACCTCAGCTTCAATCCGGACCTTCTGCTTCACTTTATCACTGTCTATCAAAACAAATAGTTCAAGCTTTTGTTTTCCAACATTGAAAAAAGTCTAAACATTTAATATCCCCTCGACACAAATACATTTGAACTCAGTAACATCACTCACTGCGCAAAGACCAAATTTTAATTATAAAATTAAAACACCTGACCATACCACAAATCACTGAAAAAAACCAACATTCCTCAGGTGGGATAGATGCACATCTGAGTTAATTAAAAATCTTTGTCATATTTAAAAAATTATAACACTAACAAAATTTATATTTTTGCTATTTTTACAGTTCAATAATTTGATAAAAACCGTAATAGAAAAAACTCATCTAATGTATGTAGAAGTAACACGGAACAAACTAATAAACGGAGATGAACTCGCCATCTTGCTTTCATGTCATAATCAGAAATGGCAACATGGCAACATTTAGATTTCCATCTGTCAAATGCAGACGAGGTTTACAGCATTAAAAATCCTACTGACTGAAGTTAGCCCATTTCTTTTATTTTTTTCAAAATAAAAAAGTAAAAAAGTAGGTTTAGAAAATAAACACTATGAATAAATACTACAAATTAATCTTAAAGCAATCGAAGTAAATAGTATTTTACCAATAATTTAGACCTATTGGACAAACCATGTTAGTTATAATATTGTACTCACGACAATGGAAACAACTTCAAGAAAATAACTATATATTACTATAAATATGAAAAAATATGCTTTAACAAAACTTACAAAATCCTAGAACAAAATAAAGCTTACACTACTCACTTAGATAATGTTTTTTTAAAAGAATTAGTAATATAATAAAATATGTATTTTATCGAAAATGCTGCCATCTAGTATCTGCAGCACTAACTACCTCCACAAAGCACAGACTGAGCGCAGAACCAAGCACAGTTACTGAAAATAATTACCAAGAAATGTTTGTGATTAGATTAGTATTTTCTCCTAATAAAACGTTATACACTTTTCTCTATATACGCATAGGTTTAAATTGATGAGATTGTTATGTACCCCTAAACGTTCAAAAAAAACGCAACGTGTCCATTTTGCGTATTTCGCACGATGCGATTGCTCCGCGCTTTCATACTATATGAGTGTTAAAAATTAGAAGTAATATTAACTGCACTTTAGTGCACAATATGTAAGACATTTTCATCGCCCTTTCATACCTGTAGTGAATAAGACAATTTGAATTCCTACTCTTACCTATCTAAAGGTATTAGGTTGAGGGTGATATAAGTTTTTAATTTTTATTATATATTTTTTTACTATGTTTGTTAATCTATGAATTTTAAAGACACTGTTGTGTCAAATCGTAACCGTCACATTCCATCATAAAAATTTACAGTTAACAAAATCATTTTTTTAACCGAAACTATTGTGTTGATTTTAACCTAGTTCCCTGATTGCTCCACTGCAGAGGTAACGCTAATTTACGTTTATTAATTTCCGCGTATTACGCTCCGCATTTGGCGAAGGACGCACTTAGCGTATGACGTCACAGTTGCTCACAGTACCAGGCGGGGATGCGCTCGGCCCTACCACCGAAGGCACCCAGCAACTATGTAGGTTAAAATGTAAAGTAGGTTAATGCACTGGTTTATATTTAAACATTCAGTACACTTTGAATCACTGAACCGAGAAGACCTCTATATGATACGGAATTAAACATGATGGTTGTAGAATGGGACTGTTACAGGGATTTTAACAGTAAGCGCCCATGGCTGTAACAATGGCGTTGGAAGAGAGTAACTCCGACTCAAAGCTTCACAAAGACAGCACCAACAAAAAGGAGCTGCGGCCACATAGCGCTGTCTCATATTCAAGGTCTGAACACGGACCAGGTATGTGAATTAACTGCAGGTGATTACAATACAATAATTTGAAGAAATATTAGTTTGTATAAATATTGGTTTAGTGCCTAAAAATCTCCATGTTTACGTAATGTATTATTAATAATTGATATAGAGAAAGTATTATGATTGCACATTGGTTCTGTGCAACAACCGCTGCAATAATGTGGTCAGAAGGGGCGCCGCGGCAACATTAGTATATGGTCATGTGTTTATTTCATTATTTTTAATTAATCAATTATTGTTCTATAGAAACAACGTCCTCTGTAGAACAATTAAAGCAGTATAAGAGCTGGGTGAGTAGCGAAAGATGGAATGAGTTGAAAAAGATAGCGGACACCGCGATGAAGGATCACAAAGTGTTTATGATAAAGGGCGGTGGATTTCCCGCCGTACGTAGAGCGTTAACAGAACGTGGGTGGGTCGAGAAATATGAATCACATAAGGTATGCTAGATTCTTTCTTGATTCTTTACAGATTACTAATTCCTAACTTTCCGAGAACATCAAACAAAATTTAGATATTAGCATAACATGATGATGTAGCTGTAATATATTTTGTAAATTTGTATTTAAAGGTTCGTCATCCGCCGCCAAATATTGATCCGAAAAAAGTGGTGGGCAAAGAACTCACAAAGGTAGAGAGGATGATATTGTACAAGTTTATGGAACACCACTCCGTTGACTTTCTCTGGACGACAAAAAGGGACAAATATGACTGGTTATTGAGCAATAAGGAGGTCGTTATCAGCAGGTAAAACGAGTCTCACGATGTAACCGAAACATGACAGCGCATTCATGAGTTTTCACTTCTCAGATGCCTATAAAATCAATAACATTTTTTTTAACACACAATATTGATCATTTGGTTTAAAACAGGTTTTGTAGGTCTATATTCACAACAAAAGAAGGTCTCACCGCTTCACTTACTCAAATGCATTGGTACACGGATCCCGGGACAGCACTAACAAACTTTCCTCGCTGCTACAACATACATAACTCCGAAAACTTGGAAGAGTTCATAGAAGACTTTCGAACTACAGCTTGCATTAGTCTAGTCAAATGGTTCTGTCGAATGTTCGAACCGAACAATGAAAATAATCCGGTCACTAACCGCGGGAAAGTACCGTTTACTGCTATTGAATTTGCTATAAATAGAGTAAATGAATACATTGTATTCTATTCCCACAAGGATATCGATAATATCGACGATGAAATCCAACATATATGGGAACACGAGTGGGACCAATTCCTAACACATCACTATCTTTTGGTGCACGAAAAAGCAAAATTTATGGCAGATTCTAATGTCAACGTTAGGTAAATATAAAAAAACACAAATATTAATGCCATTGTAAACAATGATAAGCAGATAATTACTTTCAGACAAATAGAAAGAAGGGCCAGCAAGGCTTTGGCATCGATAGCACAGCATTGGCCGCAGCTAGATATCGACGGGGTTTTAAACATTTGGATCGTAAAGCCGGGTAATAAATGTCGCGGGAAAGGGATCCAACTCATGAATAATATTAAAGATATCATTGGTCTTCTTAATATTCCCGCTCAGAAAAGTAGATACGTCGTACAGAAATATATCGGTAAAATTATCTTAATCGATTTCTTAAAATATTGATACGTAAGAAGCATTTACTTTTGTATAATGTACTTTTCTTTGTAGAAAACCCGCTTATAATATACAATACAAAATTTGACATACGACAATGGTTTTTAATAACGAATTGCCAACCACTAACCATCTGGATATACAAGTAAGGACACAAATGTTTTAATTTTAACAATGTCATTATTTTAATTTTGCTCTTTAACCTCTGCAGAGACAGCTACCTAAGGTTCAGTTCACAAATATTCAGTTTGTCAAATTATCATGAATCCGTACATCTTACAAATAATGCCGTGCAAACTAAATATAAAAATAATGGTGAGAGAGACAAGGCTTTACCTGATGAAAATATGTGGGACTGCCATTCTTTCAAAGCTTACCTTAGGTAAATATAATGAAACCCGTAATAAAATAACAGATATTTATTTTTCTTGTTAATGTTGAAATATTTCATTATTTTTATTTATGTAACCTTTTGAAGACAGATAGGAAAGTCTGAATTATGGGATTCAAAAATATACCCCGGTATCAAGCAATGTCTCATCGGAGCGATGCTGGCTTGTCAAGAGAGCATGGATAAGAGGCAAAATAGCTTCGAATTATACGGAGCTGATTTCATGTT